GTTACTAGTTAACTATGATCTGTTTCTGTGGACTTCCCAAAATGCACTGGTCCTCAATTCCTGCTGACCACAAAAGCAGTTTACCCCATCACTTCCAGCAGCCCATGAGCATACCCCCAATCCAGCTGCATGCTAATAAAGGCCAAGGACACTGTGCCAGAGGGCCTTAGTCCTTACTGGGCTTTTGACTATCCCATTTTTCTTGTGACTAAAAGTATATATACCTTCTGCCATTGTACCCCTGAACAGATCAGTGGTACCAGGCCAGGGACCCAATACTGCCACAATATGTTACACAAACCTGGAATACAAACACCTTACTGCCACGGTCTGTCCGCTGCTCTAAGTTATTGAGACCAAGACCACTACACTTAGCCAGTAGTGGCACATGATAGAACATTAGTCCATCTACTGTGGCTGCAGATTCCCATCAGGCATTACAGTGGCTATAGAGAACCCATTTTTGTGCACCATCCTCTAGTCAGTGACCTAAGGGGCCTTTTGGGGACTGAGTTTTACAAGTGTGATAACAGAGTTCAAGACAACGTTCTATGTCCATGTCTTCTTTCCCACAGGCCAACTGTATCTCTCCATGTTATGCTGTTTAGCATTGGGGCAACAGTGTTGTCCAAGTACTACAAGACCATCCTTCTACCCTTTCAATGCATCTTTTATTATGCTATAAGGAGGGTCTGTATTCTCAACCTTGACTCACATGATAGTATTTTCCCCTAAGAGTAACTCTAACAGGTGTTTCTTCCAGGAATAATTACTGAGTCCTTATTGCCATCTTGCTCTGCCCCCTTTCCAGTAATTCAATTCTCACATTCAGGTGGCTTTGAATGATAGCTTTAAGAAACTTACAAGTCTCTTCTAAGACCACTGATTAAACTCCATTAAAGTTGTGATTTCAAAATTCATCAGAGAAGATTCAACATGATGAAGTGAAAAAGGCAATAAATCCTCTTTCCCTTTAAAAAGAATGAAATACAAAGCTTAAAAATAAAATCACCAAAGAACAATGAATTTAACACTTTGGAATTCAACAGAAGACTTATATTTAGACAAAACAAGCACTAATGCCTCAGTCAGAACACTTAAGTTTGTGACATTCCTACCCACCCAGGGCTGCCCCTACCTACCCTGCGGCCACGCTATAGGTGCAATGGTTCAGCCAAAGAGAAGGCAGATGTTAATAAGGTCTTCCACCTAAGAACTTAATTAAAAAACAAACAACTAACTTAATTTGACACACTGTAAGTTACATTTATGCTCTTAGTGGTGAGTAGTTCTTTAACCTAAGCTTTTAGTCCCACTTGAGGCAAACAAAAGATGAAGTTGGTGTTCAACTGAGATTTCCAGGAGTTAAAAAGGCCACAGAAGCTTAGTAAGTACTTCACATATTCTAGGTTTACCACAGGCACAGGAAGCAGAAAATTCTCAAGCACATGCAAAGGCAGAAGCAAAACAGACCAGTACAAATCAAAGGCCATAAGATTTAAATGCACTTGTCTGATCGTAACAACAGATTTATCTGCAGGAAGCAGAGGCCTGAATAAATTGAAAGGTTTAAGCCAGTCTCTAACTACTAAGTTAAGCAAACAGCAGCTAACACTTAGGAAACCAGACTGAAAATTAAAACAAAAACATTAGCAAAGGTACCAAGTTAGGCACAATGCAATCAAAAGAGACTCCACAGATTTAGTTGAGGCCAGTATATAAACAAACAAAAGAATGATAGAGAATACAATCTTTACTATATCTATTTGAAACTGAACAAAAGATGAGGGATATGAAGAAAGAAGTATGACTCTTAAATAAGGAAGTATATTCTGAGTAAAAACTGATTACCTTAACTCAATGAAATTTCATGAAAGACCCAAATGAAAAACTAAGAGCTGAAAAATATATGAAATGAAAATTCAGATTTGACACAGCACTACAACAATCAGTAGAAGCGAGATAAAAAGAATCAACCAAAACTACTCAAACCAAAAAAAAAAGTGGGGCAGGGGGAAGAAACTAAACAGAGCCATAGAAACCAGAACATCAAGTGTACCAATACATGTATGAGGGAGATTACAGAATAAGAACACAAATGTATTTGAAGAAACAATGGCCAAGGATCTCTCAAGTCTGATGAGAGACAATACACATCCAAGCAGCTCAAAACCAAAAAAGAGATCTGTACCTAAAAACTGCTAAAAAGCTTCCCCTATGAAATCTTGAAACCACCCAAATCAAAACAAAACCTATACAATAGTAAGTGTTTAACAGCTGACCTCTCACCAAAAGTAAACAAAGTCAGGGTGTGCTGGGATGATATTCTAATAAGCAATTCAAAGAAAAAATAGTCAAATATATCCCAAAAAACCTGTCCTTAAAAAGTAAAGCCAAGCTGGAGGGGCTGGCCAGATAGCTCAGCTGAATAAAACACCTGCCTAAACAGGGGCTGGGATTATCTCCCTGGATTAAGTGCCAGCCCTGCCCCAGAGGTGCACTGAGACTGAGTAAGACTGGGCATGGCGGCATGCACCTGTAATCCCAGCACCTGGGAAGCTGAAAACAGGGGAACCACTACTCCAATCTGTGTAGTGAGACCTTGTACTAAATACATTAAAAAATAAATAAAGGCAAGATGGGAATAATAACACAAGCTTGTAACCCCAGCTACCTGAGAAGCTAAGACAAGAGTGAAACCCTATCTCAAAAAGGGCTGAGGATACAGCTCAAGACAAAAGGCAAAAAGAAATTCCAAAATGAAGAATGAGGATTAAAGATGGTTGAGTTTACAATGTATATAGATATAATATACATGACACCAGCACAAAGTTCCAGTATTTTACCCAGAATTGTCTGCATTAGTCTCAAGCAGACTATATAAAACGTACACTGTTGGCTGAGCATGGTAGCACATGCCTATAATCCTAGCACTCCGGAGGATCTCTTTTGAGCCTAAGCTACGTAGTTAAGTCTGAGGTCAGTCTGAACTACATGGCAAGATCCTGTCTCAAAAAACAAAATACTGTCGTATTTAGAGCGACCATTCAAAAAATATTGTATCTTAATAAAGAAAAATCAAGAACAACTGAAGTGGTACCAAGTATATTTATTTTAAACAAAGTAATGTAAGAAAAATAGAACAGAAAAATCTTTTTAGATCTGAAAAAAATGGTAAACAACTACACTATTTCAATACTGCAGATGAGCTGGATGTGATGCCCACATGCCTATAATCCCAGGACTACGGCAACAGAGGTAGGACTACTGACAGGTTAAAGCCAATCCTGGGCTGCATAGTGAGTTCAAGGTTAAAGCCAATCCTGAGCTGCATAGTGAGTTCAAGGCTAGCTTCAACTACACAGTGAAAGCCTATCTCAAAAAACCAATAAAATAAATATAGATGAATTCAAAAATCCCAGAGTCAGACTAGATAAAAAGATAAAGGACTTGCATTCTGAACATATGAATAGATATAGCTCCAAAGATACAAGCTGTTCAACATTACCAGAGAGATATAAATTAAATTGTAGATTTAATGCATGAGATATCACTTCATAGATATCAGAATGGCTATATTAAAATGATTAATGAAATTATTAAGAAATACTATAAAGGATATTCTTTTATATGCCTTGCTAAGAAAGTAAAATTGCACAGTCACTTTCTTTAAAAGTTACCCACAAAATAACATGACAGAATTTTAGGAGGCAACAGAAATGTTCTAAAACCTGTTTGTGGTGGTGATGTCATAAAAAAATAAATCTTTGAACTTTTTACTCACAATTGGTAACTTTAATAGCACATAAACTATATCAATAAATCCACCAGTTAGTCTAACTAACAAGCAACATATTATCAGTGTTTCACATGTATGTATATAGGTGTGAATACGCAAAGATAGGCAAAGAGCTGCCAAACACTGAGTACAACATAAAATGGAGAAACATAAAATAACTGGTAAATCTGAATCAAGGGTATGTAAGAGGTACAGTACCCCTGTATTATTTGGGCAACATTTCTCAGATTGATATTACAAAGAAATTTGATTTTACCAAAAGAAGGTCAAGAATCACAAGATTAACTAACTCATCCATCTTCTTCAATAAAGACTATATGTAAGGGCTGGCCTGATAGCTAAGCAAACTAAAGTGCCTGCTCAGGCAGAGCACACCGGCTGGGGTTAGAACCCCCGCTTGCTGTGCCGGCCCTGCCCCCAAGGCATGCTGAGATGATGGGCAACAGAGACTAGGTATAGTGGCGCTTGCCTGTAATCCTAGCACTTGGGAGGCTGAAAACAGGAGGATCACTACAAGTCTGATCTACATATTGAGACCCTGTACACCCTGTATCCCTGTACTAAACACACTAAAAAAGACTATATGTAGCATAAGTTATTAGAAAACTGTACTTTAGTAAAATTACTTCAACAAAATTGAATGCGAGACCAACACAATACACTCAAAAAGCTCATGAAAGTCCAATAACATGTTCCTAATCACAAAATCAGATGAAAAATACATCCTATTTCTAACTCAGGGTAACTCAAAAGCTCATTCTGAAGGGGCATAGGTTTTGGTTTACTTTTACTTTTGAGATTAAGCTTAATTATAAAACTATTCAAAATAAAAATTATTAACTTATTTAACCTAATACTATCGCTTCTAGGCCTTTTGGCTAAGATCAAATGTAACCTAACACTGTTGCTTTGAAATAAACTTTGCCTAGTTTGATGGTGTATGCTGGTAATCCCAGCACTCAGGAGGCTGAGGCAAAAGGATCACTCTGAATTCCAGCAGGCCAGCCTGGGCTATAGAGTAAGTTTAAAGGCAGCTTGAACTATATAGTGACAGCCTGTGTCAAGAAGACAAAAAGACAGAAAAAAAAGGAAGGAAGGAAGGCAATTAGTTCATTAGTGATAAGGACAATCACAGTCATCTAAAAAAAATTTAAATATGTATTATACTTTTAAAAGATTATAATCATTTAAATTCAGATTGTATCTTCATTTAAATTCAGATTGTATCTTTGTGTTTACAATTCTCTACTCCTGTATACTTTAAGAAACATTTTATATGTAACATGTAGCATAATTAATTGCATCTTACTGACATTTCCATGATAGACTGAGAAACAAGATTTACAGTCAAATATAGTGGTGTGTGTTTGTGAGCCCTGCTATTTAGGACACTGGGAGAAGAGTCACAAATTGAAGGTCAGCCTGAGCAACTTAGCAGACTCTGTTTCAGAATAAAATTTAAAAAGAGCTCAGATGTAGCTAGATAAGTGACAGCACTTACCCAGCATACACAAGGTCTGGATTCAATCAGTACCACCAAGAGGTAGTGAGGGTAGATGATTTACAAAAGCATCACTTCTTTACCAAAAGAAATATTTCTACCAAGAGATAATTCTTCAGTAATCTTAGCTTGCAAATGTGACATACTTACCAGGAGCTAAAGGCACAATTTTTATTCATAACAACCAACCATAAAATCATCATTTACTTTCATCATAATAACTTATTGACATTTTTGAAACAAGCTGTTTGCAATCCTGAAAGTTCTTTATTTTTTAAAATATATTTGCAGTAGGTTGTTAATTTCCAATAGATGTCTTCATGAAAATAAGCAAAAGTAGGTAAATGTGACAAAAGGTTGACAAAGTATTCACACATTTGAATTATACCAAGTCAAGAATGAGGAAGAAAGCACTGCAAAAGACTACTGCAATGATATTTATGTTCCTGCAATAAAACCAGCAACACATCCGTATCAAGACAATTATCATCTCACTTCCAACTTTTTCCCCTCAAGAACAATTTGAATTTCTTTGGCATCCAAAGTCTCATAGGTCAATAAAGCTTCTGCTAGGTTCTTATGCTCTTTTGCATGAGTTTTCAAGATGTGTTTTGCTCTTTCATATGACTCCTGAAATTAAAAAGCAGGTATGTAAGAAGCAGAAAATGTAGCAAAAGAAAACACAGTAACTATACCACTTTAACAATCTATTCACTTATTTTTTTAAAATTATTTAAAAGCCTGGAGCAAAGAAATTTATCTATGTATGTAAGCAGGATGGTTTGTACAACTGTACTGTGCACTTCTGATGGTCTATGGAAAGCAGTTAACACTTTGTTTCATCTTCTTTTTTCAATTGTATTTTTCTTAATTTCTTATATATTTCTTTTTTCTTTCTTCCAATTTTACATGCACATATCTGGCAATATGAATAATTGGTTAGAAGACAACACTATGTATTACAACAAATACTGTGAAATTCATATTATTCTGTTAAATGAAATTCTGTATCACTTGTAATTTTTTGTTTGAATTCTAATTTGTACTTCTTAAAAAATTAAAGAAAGAAAAGCTTAGTTCTAACGGACAGATAATTTCAGCACAAAGTGTTCATAAGAATACCCCAATTACATTCCTCATTCACTAAAGACACTACTTTTCTCTATTCCCAACCTTCTCAAGGAATGGGGAAGTTTAAAATCCAAGAGGAACACATAACCAACCTTTCCATTAAGAAAGAGACACACATATTTAGCTTCATGTTGAAACTTTCACTAAGATGTTTCATAATCACCATGTACAAAAATGAACTAATAACCTACTCACTACCCCATTAGCCAAGGTTTAGTCTCCATTTTCTTCAGTGAATGGCACAAATAATTATATAGCTACATGACCTAGTTATTTATTAAACAGATTTAACCGCTCTCCTAACCATCACAAAATACCACAAAAACATCAACTCACTGCAGTCATCTCTTGAACCCATCTGTTTCATTTTTATTTTCCCCATCTTAATTAAGCAAAGCATTTATATGCCACAGTATCTCCTAGCTGAACTCCCTGAATTTACTTTTATACATCTGTGGTGGTTAACTGATTGTCAACTTGAATGGGAAATACCTAGCTGAACTGAGTTAGCAGCCGGGGAGATGGCTCAGTAGGATAAGCGCTTGACTGAATTGAGTTAGCATGGTTCCAGGCATGGAAGACCCATTTTGAGAAGAACTGCTGGAATGGTATAAAAGAACAGGAAGGAAAAATTTCAGATCATTTTCCTTGGAGGAGCTTCGGCTGTTCTCTTTGGAGGGGTTCTGTGATCTTCACCTTGAGCGTCATCTCCTGGCATTCCATGCAGATTCTTCAGCTCCCAGCACTGGCCTTTCTGCCTCTGCCACTGCGGCCTCTTTAGCTTCTAGCACCAACCTTTTGATCTCCCACTGCTAACCCCTTAGTCTTCCAAGGAATCTTTCAGCCTCCTTACATAGACTCAGTTTTCACGTGGCTCACAGGAGCCACTGCCATCAGTGGGTCCCATCAGTTGGGTCTTTGGGATCTCTAAGGCTCAAAAGAGATCTTTTGTACTCTTCTACATTTGACTCTGTGGGCGGCCACTGTAGGCCAATCTTGTAAATTTTTGTGTCCTGCATGTACAGTCTTTTGAGGAGCATTGCCCCAGCACTGCAAGCTCTGGAAGCACTAATACAAAATTCCTTTACTCAACCTATGTGGGAAAATGCAACCAAAAGGTCCTTTGTTTTGTTTATTCTGCATGATTGGCACATACAATGCTGAGCACAAATCAAATAACTAGTATGTATTACATACATATACCTCAGAATAGAAACAGAGATTCATTAAACAATAGCCCTCATTCTATCACCTCTTATGATTTCATAGCTAAAGTAGAACTGAATTCTACTTAGCCTATGGTCAAAATAAAATAACGATCCAATTCAGGAAATGGGCTTTCTTGACAATGTATTTAAATCACTGCCACAAAATGCACCTGTTTTACTTTATAGTGACATTTCTTTCTTTTTTTTAAATGTATTTTAGTACAGGGTCTACAGGGTCTCACTATACAGCCGGACTTGTAGTCATCCTCCTGTTTTCAGCCTCCCAGGTGCTGGGACTACAGGTGCACGCCACCATGCCCAGTCTCATTCCCCATTTCAGCACACCACAGGAGCAGGGCCAGTGCAGCACGCCAGGGATCGAACCCTGGTCCACCCCGCGCCTGCCTATATGCAGGCGCTTTAGTTCACTAAGCTAATTTGCTGGCCCTTTTATATTCACATTTCTACTGTCCTCACATTCACTTTATTTGTGGTACTGGGGAATTAAAACCACGGCTTCAAGCATGTTAGCCAAATGCTCTACTACGGAACTACATCTCCAGCCCTTGTTATCTCTGTTTTGCATTCTTTTTCTTATTTCGAATAGGATCTCACAACAAACTTCAGTTCGCTTTGAACTCACTAGTAGCCCAGGCTAGCTTTTAATTGTGATGATCCTCCTACCTCGGCCTCCCAAATGCTGAAATTTCACACATGTGCCACTATGCCTTGTTCCTTTCATTTCTCAAGTACAGTAAGTCTTCAACTTACAAATATTTGAGTCATGAATGTTCACAGATATGAATGGATCTTGAATTATGAACATTCAAGAATGGTGTTCAAATGGAAGTAGCTAATGTCTGCTGTCATAGTTGTGCTATGTGCTAACTGTACAGTATGATTATAGCACAGTACAGTTGGGGACTTACTGTATTTTTGTCTTTGGGTTTTTATGCTTTTCATTGTATATTAGTGTCAAAGGTGTGCAAGACTCACTTCATCAGACATAAGAATGAATTTTACTTATGGCTATTCCTAGAACAGAACATGTTCTTAAGTGAGGGACTTACTGTACCTGTTTAGGCAGCTTATCTAAAAAAGAAGTAAGTTCAGACACATTACCCTTAGAAGAATTCGTATTTCTTGTTCAATGGCAGACTGAGTTTCAGGACTAAGTTTCCCTGTGTCACTGTAAGTCATAACGCCAAGCTAAAATTAAAAAAAAAAAAAAAGAGAGAGAATAAGGAAGAAAACCCAAAGTGCTAAAGAATTTAGCAGACAAAGAACTAGCCTATATACAAGGACAAAATATGGATGGCAAAAAAATATTAAAATATTTTTTCAGGGCAAAGAATTTCATTTTGAAACTATAAAGTCTAAAATCAAAATATTAAGTATGAACAAGGAAGAAAAATTTTAAATAACTTAAGTCTGATTCTGATTGCACTCTTAAAAACTCTGGCTCCAAATCCAGAAATACATATATCAAGATATGGAAATGATTGAGGGAGTCACAGCAATAATGTGGAAATATGCAATATTTGGAAAAAGAAAAGTATGGAAGCTCAGAAAGTACGTTTCTAATGCCATATGAAAAGGCTTGGTTAATTTATGAAGTAATGGTTACTGAGCAGCTGAGAGAATTCTACACATTCTGCTAATCAAAGCATTACCAAAACATTACCAAATCTCATTTGGAATTGGAATGTGACTAGAAAAAGTAAACATATTAATTCATAATCAGATCTCTCAAACAGGCACTTGGTATATCATTTGATACCAGAAAACAAAACTATTACCTTCTCACTCATTCCAAATTTGGTAACCATCCGCTTAGCAATTTTTGTTGCAATATCAAAATCACTAGAAGCACCTGAAATTAAAAAAAATTAAATTAAACATACATATCAATTTCTTCTTACAATCTTTAAACCAACAAATACAATTTAACATAAGCCCATTATCTAAAACCAACCTGTTGTAATATGGTCAGTTCCAAATATAAGCTCCTCAGCCACTCTTCCTCCCATACTAACATCCATTTGTGCAAGTAGTTGGGCTCTGGTTTCATTCCACCTGTCATTCTCAGGCAACAGGGACACCTAGGCAATTGAAAAAGAAGCAATAATTGCCAAAGAAATTTACATACAGTCCTGAAAGTTACAATTAAACCAGAATTATCATTTAATTCTGATCAGAGATAGTACTTAATGACCCTGAAAAGTGAAAGATGTTTACTAGATAATAAGTGACTAGGGCTGGCCAAATAGCTCAGCGGATTAAAGCGCCTCCAGCAGGCACAGGGGCTGGGGGTTTGATTCCTGGGCCTGCCATGCCAGCCCCAACCCCGGGTCACACTGAGACAGCAACTGAGACTGGGCATGGTGGTGCATACCTGTAATCCCAGCTCTTGGGAGGCTGTACACAGGTGGATCACTACAAGTCTGATCTAGTCCTATCTAGTAGTGAGACCCTGAGCATCCTGTAGACCCTTCATTAAAATTAAAAAAAAAGCATTAACTAGACAGTAAATCATGTATTATAAAATGTATCTAAAACTAAAAAAATTTTAATTTCAAAAAAAAAAAAAAGAGGCTAATGAAAAAAAGCAACATTTTTTGTTCTTTCTTTGTTGTAGTTGTTTTGATTTTTTGTTGAGAGAGGGTCCCAAGGTATAATTCAGACTGGCTAAGTATAATTCAACTCACTAGGCAGCCTAGGCAGGCTTCAAACTCATGTGGATCCTGTTGCTTCAGCATCCCAAGAGCTGGAATTACAAGCATGTACCACCACACTCAGCAAAAGCAGAAATTTAGACAGTAAGAAAAATTATGAAGTCAAAGTACTTTTTATAAGCAACAGATGTATATAACACTGCAATAGTACTGTTTTACTCCCAACTACATAATTTTTTCAGCCATGTTTAAAATGTCACATATAGCAATGGAAAGAATGGAATACAACTTCTATTAAATGAAAAATACTCTTTATTAACAGAAAAAATACACTAATGTCTCCAATTTCCAAAAGATTCATAAATTAAGAAAGAAAATATCACTTAAAAAGTAACTATGACTAATCAACAGTTTCTTCTGTAAGTTTCTGGAAAGCTCTATTAGAAAGCAAATAAAAGAAACCCTAAGAACCTTACATGTCCAAGAGTTGGCCCACGTGGCATGATGGTAGCTTTGTTAATAGGCATTGCATCTTTTGTGTAATATGCAATAATAGCATGACCAGATTCATGATAGGCTGTAATGGTTTTGTTTTTGTTATCAATTTCCACACTTCTTCGTTCGGGGCCTACAACAATAATTTAAGTTACATACTGTACAGAAGGTATTCTTAACTAAAATGAAACCCATTGCCTTCAGATTAATATAAAACAACAACAACAACAAAAATCCCAAAACAATAAATCATTCTCCTTAATTCTTTGTGGGTTTTAGGGAAGGGTCTACAGAGTGTTCAGGTTTCACTACTAGATCTGACTCAACTCGTAGTGATCTGCCTGTTTACAACCTTCCAAGAGCTGGGATTACAGGCATGGGCCACCATGCCCAGTGTCAACTGCCATCTCAGTGTGCCCTGGGTGGGGGCAGGGCCAGCACAGTAGGCCAAGAGATCAAACCCCCAACCCCTGTGCCTGCTTGCAGGCACTTTATTGTACTGAGTTATCTGGCCAGCCCTTCCTCCTTAATTCCTAAGTAACAATACAGTGACACCTACACTGCCAAATAGCTCTACGCTAGACATTTGTACTACATAAACAGCAAAGTTTGAAAAAATCTGCTCAGTTTTTGGAACCTTGCTCAATAGTGAAACCGAAAATCTGACTTGAAAAAACCACATGGGCCAAAAGTGAGTAACGTATCACATCTTGCTGCAGATACAAAGGATAGATACTTCACCCTGAACACAGCTCTCACCCAGACAATATACATGTGTGCACAATTTTTGGGCCTCCACATCAATTATTTGGTTTTCCATTATTTCTTATGGGAAAAACATGTTCAGTTCTTGCATCTTATGTTGTTCAAACATGAATTTGAAATGAATTGAATTTGACAAAGTGTCACCACATTCTAAATAAGTATTTTAAAGTGTAATAGTTTTTAAAAAATAGAATTCAATCTACAACACAAAGAAATTAAAATAAACTGTCAAAAAAGCAAATCAAACCTGTCAAATTATCAAATGGGCTAGAGATGTTACTCTGTGATTGCCTATCATGAGAGTCTCAGGTTTGAACTGTAGCATTACAAAACAAAATAGCTGTTTAAACAAAACTATCATCCTTGTATCAAGATTATTCTCTAAATTAACCACTAGGAAGAATGTATGCAATGTGTTAATTATCGAAACTGTTCTACTAATTTGGTTTGAAACTGTCTCACTGCTATTTGTTTCTCAATAAAATTATGGGAAAAGTAAATAAATAAAAAGATAATTCTCTAAAAAAATACCAGATTTATCAGAAGTCATAATCTGTTAAGGCAATCAACAATTTAAAATAAAAATTATAGGGCTGGTGAGATGGCTCAGTGATCTAAAGCACCTACTTAGAACACCTACTTAGAACAAGCTTAGTTCAATCCCCCAGCACATGCCAGCCAGCCCTGCCCCCTGGTGGGCTGAGCTGGCCACACACACACACACACACACACACACAAATAATAAATTTTTTTTAAAAATTACAACAGTATAAAATTAACCAAACATTTTACCAGCAATGTTGGATAAGAACTGCACACACATCTCTATAATCAAATAAGCTATTAACATACATTTGTTTTCTTTTTTTTTTTGCTTCCAACTAAGCCTTTTTATTCTTTTGGTAATCTCTTCCAGGGTTAACTACTTCCATTGTAGGTGATGAAATATGTAAGGCTCCACTTCAAATGTTGGCACTGCTATGAACATAAGTCTCTTTCCTTCTCTGCAACTCAGAATTAAAACTCTGATTCTTGCTTTATATTCCAGTCTCAGAAGTAGTTCCACTGCAGAAGTTATTTGCAGGCAGTCTTATGCTTTTTAGCAGTGGTCTCTGACCAGGTTCTATCTTCTCCATGAATACTACCAATGGACTTAGTTTAGATATGTATTAAACTAAGAGGCATTCTCTCAAATGAGTTTAAATGCACTTTATTTTTAGACAACCTACATGACGTGTTTTTTTCCCTAAAAAACAATGCCTCCACTCCAAATAAATCAC